AATCGAGGAAATGGTCCATCTTCTAAATCACAATTACATATTTATGATACCTAAATTACCATGTAAATCATCATGCCAAACACGACCCCCTCGCTGACAATATGCTAAGCACTATTAGTAGGAGGGTCTTTTCTGTCTCGTCATAGTGTATAAGGTTGCCTTCGATAGAACGTATCCATTCTGTCGGGATAGCATACTCCACATTACCACTGGGAGGTTTTTTAATCCCTTTCGTACGCAACTCACAGCAGGTCAGCGGTAGCACTTGTTAAGCTATGGCGCACGCTCGCAAAAGTTAACCACAAGAAATCTCTCCCCTTTCTCATGGTACCACGTTTCATTTCCATAGATGTTCATAGATGTTAGAAGAGCGCGAATTCCTTATAGGGATTTTACAAGCTTGAGAAACAAAAACAACTGATTTCCTGTAACACCTTAAGGTTGCTTACCGCTTCATTGTTGTAGGTGGCCCACCAGAGCTGCTTGTCCTTCATACCAGTATAATCAAGACCAACAATTGCCTGCCAGTTGTTATAGTTGCTATACACACCCCAACTTTGTCCTAGGCTCTAGAAGAACAAGTGAATGTTTTTTCCAATAGTTATGAGTGATTATTCAAGAAGAAAATTGAATAGGTAAAATACATCTATCAAAGAAGTGAGCAATATAACAACTCCAAAATAGGATTTGACTTACGGTTAGCTCTTTTCCCATTGCCTCAATGAAGGCACGGTTTTTTGTGTGATCACTTGGCCATTGGTATGTCTCGATGTCAAGCCAGAGCATTCCAACTTTTGCATTGGCATTTTTCAATGCAGTTACTGCTTCGGAGACCTGGTTATTGTTTAGATGTTGGAACTGTCCTTTCACGCTTAACGTTCACTGTACATACATTGATAAAGCTTCGAGCAATACCTGTTTGGCCGCACTGGGGCAAGACGAGGATAGACAAGGGAAGATGTATCCGTCTACATGAGCGAGCCCAGCTGTAACAACTTTATTTATGATTCTCATCTGTGAATCCTAAATACGAAGATCTGCTTCTGTGCCCACGAAGAATTCCTTCTCAATTGCCTTGAATGAGTTTCCTTTTTCTTTCAAATCGGTAAAAGGCTTCGATGATCAATCAAGTTGCGATCTGTGCACTCGACTTCTATAGGATCCTATAGCCGGTACTTTTAGGATGATCTAATGTTACAGAGTAGAAGCCATTCCAGATCACGTTCTAGGGTTCCTCAATGGGGGTCATATGGGCCGTGAGAAGGATGGAGGTTGTAGATGTCAATGGTTTACTAGGTATGAAAATGAAACAGCGGTGGAAAATATGTAAGGCTTTGATTTGTTCTCACACCAGTCATATTTAAAGCGAGGGATTACGATGAGTTTGGACTGGTTCATAGTGGAAGTGGAGATGCTGAATAATGCCCCAGTGGCGAAAAAAGCAAAGAAATCCGTCAAGAAGGCGCAAAATGGGACCCCTTTCTTTGCCCGTTGACCTCCGATAATGGACGAGCCAGTAAACAACTGGTGGTCATTTGCGAACCAGTTAGCCGCTATCATGCCAACAAACTCCTTGCCCTGACTGAAAGGGCATCCCTTATACAAGTTATAGGATACGGGCACTTTCAAAATTGTAGCCGACTGGTGCTGCTGGAGCGGAGCACAGGCGGAGCACGAAAAGGATTCGCAAGCTGAGTGCACTGCGGCTAGTGCACCCTAGGAGACGAAAATGACATCTCGCTTGAAGAAGTGCTTAACACAAACTAATCAAGTTTTAACCTATTCCATGGCAATGAACCCTTTGGCTTCCGGCTGCTGCTTCCACTGATGCAATACTTCCTTGCTACATACGCACTTTATCGTAATCCCTCGCTTTACCACCTTCGACGGCCGGCCGTTTGACAGAAAATTTGGATATGGGTCTGGGGTGATGTAATTAGTAACAATAACGAGGTCAACGATAGGAGGCCAAAGGCCATCGGCCAGATCAATCGCACAGACCATGGGAAGAGGGAGGATGTGTGTACCCGACAAGAGGCCTATCACGCAGCGAGGAGTAGAAGAGGCAGAAGAACCATTAGGCGAGTTGGTTCCATAGAAAAGCTCACGGCACGGATGCGTCCGCGTGTTGATGAAGTCACTTTGACGTCAAAGCATCGGCGAGGGAATGAACAAAGCGTGAGGCCAATATTTTAAAACAACATCTCCAGATTAATGTGGTGGGGTAGCTGCAGTTGATATTGGAATTGTGGATGCCGAGACGACTGAAAGTGGAAAAAAGAAGCAAACAATATCGCCAACAACGCCCGTGAACAAGGAGTCAATCTCTTCCTTTTTTGAACGAGAGAGAGGCGCATCGGACGCGTTGGACTTGACTGGCGCGAGGTACCTCGTCCGCAAGTTCACATTAGTCGCCATCACTTTGCAAGGCCTTAGCGCTGTTGCCGCGCATATTAGAGCTGCGACAATGGCAGATCTGTGATATAAGTGAGCTAGTCTATCCCATCTCCAAAACAGATTCTTCGATACAACCCCATCTGTGGTTACTGCTTTAGTACATTACGTGCTGAAGAGTTGATCGTACCCTAACTTTATGTGTAATAAGTAGTGGTGTAGTTGGGGAACGAGTTGACGAATCCATTATAAGAATCGACATCAGCATGACTGTGCACTTCTAAGGGTTTACACATGAAGGTGTTGACTACGCCATTTGATTACTGATCATGTCAACAAACAACTGGAATAATACTTACTCAAATGATTCCCACTCTCTAGCGCAAGGATAGCATCTATACGTACAATCATTTCACTTTCCGCGCTATTGATTGCATAGGTGAGTAAAGTGCGAGCAACCTCGTTACTAATCAGGCGAAATGTTGGTAGCTGTCGCTCTTGCCACAGCTGCGACGTCGCCAGCACGAGCTCACCTCCGCCGCCGGTGAGCTTTTCTCTACGTCGGACGAGTCATGCATTCTACGCTTCTCCGGTTCACCCAGTCGTCTCTTCTGAAGCCTGTTCACTTCGACACAAGTGTGGGCATGAATAGTGGGCTACGATCTTTAAGCTTCTCTAGCCACCCGTCGCGCGATAGACTTTCTGTAAGGTACTCAGAAAGGGAGACCGTACCAAGATTCTCGTTAGAAGGGGAGGGATTGTGCTGCCACCGTGGATTTTCTCTTACCGATATACACCCTGTGACCCTCATATGTTAATACATGATGGGACGTCTAAAAAATCAGCTCACTACGGAGACATGATAACTTTTTTTTCAGCAGGAAGTGCTGATTCGTCTGGCGATATTGATTAGGCGGCTCTCGAAGAAATGCACATGTAAACAACAAAGTTCGAAGGGCGCAATCCAGCGAAATATTGCCCCCTCCGATTCACCCGTCCCCCTCAAAAAACTGTGTGCGATCACAAATGGTATACAAATTTTCGTGTGTAACAATTACCCTATTTTCCGGTGTATAAGCCCGCGCTAGTACCTCCACTGGTGCAGTGTACTTGAGTACATCTAGAGTCAACCGTAACATGCCCATAGGGGTAATTCGATATGCTGATCACGAAAACGACATTCGTTTTTAGCGGTGGCGGCATCTGGCGCCAGTTGGCGCCACCTTGTCACGACCCTTGTTTTCGCCAAAATCGGTGTAAACTTCAGTATAGGGGTTATTTGGGACCCTGATTACGAATATGACATTCGTTTTTGGCGTTTACGTTGTTTAGTGCACATGTCTCGGTTGGAGAGCGCAGACGAGCAGAAAATAGGCGTCAAACAGCGCCAGCGCCTATAATGAATGTCATATTCGTAATCTCTTTCACTGAGGGTCCTCTCTCACTGAAAGATCTCGAGCCGGTTGGTGGCGAGGCTACGTGGCGCGACCCCAGGTGGCGGATAGGGGGTAAATCGCGGACCAAAAGCCACCATGTACTTGCCCTGAGACGCAGGTGGATTCAGGGGATGGACTCCCTGTTTCTGTAGCGCTGTGATTCATACCAGCTGTCTCCACTCAGGCGCATCCATGCATGCTTGCGTGTGTGGTGCGCTCTGTGTGTGTGCGGTTGGTATCCTGCATGTCGGCACAGCCAAAAGCTTGCATTCAAGTGACTGGGAAGTACATGGGAGGCGATTCGGGGCCGCCTCCAAGAAATAAGCCCCTTGTTCCGCTCCAGGATAGCGTGGCTAACTACCTGGAGGTCTATCCTAGCCCGCACGACAGAGCCTGGCAAGCTACTCGTGTGCCTTCAATATGCCGAAAACAGCAATATGGATGGGCCTCATTCCCCTGAACCTGAGGGAGCCCCCAATACGGCAGCGTTGGGTAGGACCGCTCGGGAGAGGCTGCTAGAATCTCAGGGCCCGGATAGGCTGCCTAAAAAGAAGGACTAAGATGGCGATCTGTACTTTCAACGCACGAACGCTTGCATCCGAAGCTCACATCGAAGATCTGATGATGCAGGCCAGGAAGATCAAGTACGACGTCATCGGACTGACCGAGACGAGAAGGCACCGCCCGCTACACGCCGTTTTCGATACTGGAGAAGAACTGTTCCTTGGAACATGCGACAGCAGAGGCGTTGGCGGTGTGGGTGTCCTCGTCAACACGCACTTGGCCATAAACATCGATTCGTACGAAAGCCTTACGACCCGAATCGGACGTTTGAGATTGAGAAGATGTGGTTCAACTCCTGCTTTGACAATCTTCGTCGCCTACGCACCAACATCCAGCTACGACGAAGAAGAACACGAAGCATTCTATATGGAATTGGAGAAGTTCTACAGGGAAGATCATACCTTCTTCAAGGTCATCGTCGGCGACTTCAACGCTAAGATTGGCCCAAGAAGAACGGCTGAAGAACTTCACATCGGTACTCACGGAATGGAATGGAATGAGCAGGGTGAGAGACTGTCGGAGTTTATCATGTCGACCAACACCATCCATGGTAACTCACAGTTCCAAAAGCCCCCTCACCTTCGTTGGACTTGGGAGTCACCTGATGGACAGTTCCATAACGAGATAGACCACATCATCTTCAATCGAAGGTTTTGCCTGACGACGTCGCTGTTGTTCCGAAGTTCTACACGGGATCGGACCATCGTCTCCTCCGCGCAAAGTTCCACTTTTCGATGCGTGTTGAGAGAGCCTCAAAGTTCAGGAAGCGAAGCCCCAGGACAGTCATCAACTGGGATCACTTCGCTTCCCTCGTCAGCTTATGGGAGGATTCCGTCATCGAAAACATCGACGAGGAGTACTATCGGCTCGTTGAACATCTTCACGATTGTGGCAAGAAGGCAGAGAGTTTGAAAGTCACCAAGGGACGTCTGTCTCCGGAAACTCTCGAACTGATACGCCAGCGTGGAGCCGCACGAGCTGCAGGCAATCACCGACTCACGTCCGAGCTTGCGAAGCTATGCAGAGAGGCGATAAAGGAAGATCTCAAGGAGCGAAGAGCAGCAGTATTAGCTGAAGCAGCAGAGGCTGGGAGGAGCATCCGCAATGCCCGCCGAAGCTTTGCCAGCTACAAGACCAAGATGACCTGCCTCCGACGTCCGGATGGAACAGTTACTGCATCCCGAAGGGCAATGGAGAAAGTCATCCACGACTTCTACTCGGATCTCTTCGATAGCCATGTCCATCTGCCCACTTATCAAACTGCAACAGGATGGATACGTCGTCCCCTCAGTTCTCTCTTCCGAAGTCCGACACGCCATCAAGTCGGTGAAGAATCGTACAGCACCCGGTCTCGACAGGGTCAAACCGGAACATCTGAAGAATGCGCCGCCAGTTATCATCAAAACTCTGGCTCGACTCTTCACGCGCTACCTGTCGGAATGCAAGGTACCCACTCCGTGGAAAACCAGCAGGACCGTGTTGCTGTACAAGAAGGGAGACCTGGACGACATTGGCAACTATCGCCCAATCTGCCTGCTGTCTGTAATCTACAAGCTATTCACTCGAGTCATCCTTAACAGGATCGGCAGAATACTAGATGAAGGACAGCCATGCGAGCAA